CCTACTCCTGCAATTTTGTGATGTTTAATAATTCGCAAGAGAGAATCCGAGCTCCAAGATGTTACATACCAACGGCAGTTCTACTCGAGGTATGCACAATCTAGGATGAATGCTCTTGCGATTATCTCTGTCTAACTGGCGTAGCTCATCTATTGGCCAGTCGACTACACCAAAGTAGTAGAGCAGAAACGGAACAGTAAGCATGTTAGCCATAAATATCTAGTTCTTACCCGAAAGGTCGAGGTAGGTGTCTGTACTTATCGCGGAGAATTCTTTACTTGTTCTACATCCTAGATGGGCTTTTGTTGTATACTTAGAAATGTATAGATCTTTGCGGCATCCAAGTAATGTAGGATGCTTTCGTCTGCGAGCTGCATATCTTCAGAGAATTTCCCACATCGTACTCTTTTGCGGTGGATGACTGCACATTTATCCAACTCGATTTCTATTCTAATTGCCCACGTGTACTCATCAATCTCCTAAAGAGAGTTTTGTAGTTCGCGCTCTCCAGAGGTATACTGTTTAAAATCATCCATAAAAAATATTAGCCTCCGGTAGCTGGGTGGTCGATATCGATATCTGCGGATTTGGCAGAACTCAACTGACAAAGGTAGCAGTGAGAGACAGAATACAAGAAGAGGAGAGAAAGTGGGAAAATTATATTCGACAATGAAAGACAAATTATTGATTGACTATAAATCAAATTTGGTGTATAAAATTCCTTGCAGGTATGGGGCAGTATATATTGGACAACCAAAACAACTATTAAAAACTCGGATTATAAACATAAATACTCGTGTAATGCAACACAATAACAAAAAAAGAGGAAACTGCTCTTGCAACACACCATTTCGAGTTAAATCATGATTTTCAATTCAATAATATTAAAATTTTGGACAACGAACAAAATTACAAAAAACGATTAATAAGCGAAATGATACTTATATTAGTAATACTGTTAATGAAAAACCGGACACCGAAAATTTTACCAGAATTAATAACAACCTAATAGAAAAATATATAAAAGTGTAACCATTCTTGTGTACATAAATGAATATCAAATTGATTCTTTAATTTAAATTTTGGTTTATAAACGTATTTTTTTTTCACTGACTTCTTAACTAATATATGAATAAATAATAAAAACGTTTTTTACGGAACGAAATTTTATTAGGCTCTTTTCAAAGTTTCTTTGATAAATATCTATTAATGTTCAAATCTTTATACATATTGAATATTGTTTATGTACTGATTACACTGAAATATTTGCTTTGAAACTCTATATGTTATTTTTTTTTACAATGTTTTACATTGATGATTTTGTTGACAAAAAAACAAATACATTATTAGGTAAGCGTGACTGATAATTTAAAAATTTTTTTTTTAATATTGTAGTTATTATTAGAGTTGGCAATTCGGTCCGCAAGTCATGGGCGGTGCTAGGTAGAGAAATATCCAAATACGTATGCGAGGCTTGTTTACTATTTTAGCAAAGACTAACATTTGATTTTAGTCTATTGTTATGCCACGTGTTGTGTACAATGTAATTTATTCCTCTCCGTTGTATTGTTGACAATTTTATTTGTTGTATTTTATTCTTGATATTAATTTAATAATAAAGTATGTCAACCTGCCCAAGGGTAAAAAACGGCCATACGCTGACAAAGTGAATAAATTTATAAGTGAATTCCCAATTCCAATTTAATCAGCTTTATTTCCTATTTTATATACATCTCTAATTAAGGCTACTTTTATTTTATTTATTTCATATATAAATGTATAAAAACAAACAAACAATATGGCAGTTTACAAAGAACATGTGGATAATTGTATGTACATAAGAAAAATTCCAAAAAACCTGCTCAAAATAATGATTTTTTTATTTTGAAAATAAAAATTGACTTTACGTCCGCGATGGGGTCACACTAGGCACATGAAAATTTAATTTCCCTAATAACTCTTGGCAGTCAATTTGATTGTGTAAGATTTTATATAGAAATACTTGAGAAAAATATTCGCGTCTATTTTCAAGAGATGTCATGGAAAACTTAGTCAACCACTCTTGTTGGGGAACACCAATAGACGGGTATGCTCCCTCAGACTTAAGCCATAATAGTTTTAAGAATCGTCTTTGCACTTTCTCCAAAGAATCTACGTGATTTCTATAGTGAGGGTTCCAAACAAGAGACTCATATTCAAGCTTAGACCTAACAAAAATAAAGTATAAAGTTTTAAGTGTACTGATATTCGAGAAGTCTTTGCTGGTTCTAATTAGGAACCCAAGAGTCTTAAGAGATTGAGTCACTAAATTATTTATGTGAGGTATAAATGAAAGTTCGCCATCGAATATTACGCCAAGGTCAGCAAGAGTAGAAGGTCGTTGAAGGACTGCGTTGTCAATACTGTAATTAAACATAACAGCCTCGAATTTAGTTGTGTAGGTCATAACGTTACACTTAGACACATTCATATTTAAGTTGTTTTCAACGCACCAATTAAATAAGTTTGAAAGGCTGTTTTGCAGAAAAACGCAGTCCTCCAAACAAGGAATTACTTTAAAACTTTTGACATCATCAGCGTAAAGTAGATAGGACACATCAGTAACATTCACAATATCGTTAATGAATATGTTGAACAACAGGGGACCGAGAATTGACCCCTATGGGACACCGGATGTAGCAATATATTCGACAGACTGGAAACCATCATACGCAACATATTGCCTTCTATCCGAAAGATAAGCATGACAAAATAATAACAGAGACGGCGAAAAACCAAAAATAGACATTTTGTTTAGCAGTATGGAGTGATCCAGTCGGTCGAATGCTTTCGAGAGATCTGTATATATTACGTCAGGTTGCCTGCGTTATAATAAATAACAATAATCAGCAATATTATATTGGACATACTAGAAAACGTTCTTCTGAAATAACTAAAAGGTAGCAGTTCGACTATGATTTGCTACTGAAACCCAGAGAGAATAAAACTCATAATATTATTTTCAAAGTGGTTTACACACGGTCTTGGAGATTGCAATAGTTTATAGATTACTGCGCTACGGAATAATTAGCAATTTTAATATTTGAGCCGGTGAATTATTTAACAGCTGCATTTTACTGCGTGGCAGTTTGATAATCTATAGCTTGTGGCCGCGAAAATATTAAAATGAGAAACATTTACTACATGCTAGTTCATTTAAATAATGATAATGACTTACTCGATTAAACTTAAATTTACTAGGCGACAAGTTGCGTGAGAGCTCAAATAAAGTTTATTCTTTAAAACTTAATTTAGAATTACTGACTGCATTTTAGTGGAAATGATAAGTGGGAGATTATTTATGTACTGGGTGTGTTAATTTTATACTGGGAGATTTGGGAATCAATAAAACATTTAAATTTAATGCCAAGAGATTTTCTTTATTATTCACAGGCCAACATTTAGTTTGAAAAAAAACACCAGACTCAACCTAGGTACCCAGGGGTTTTTGGGGTCGCTGATTCCGATGCCGAGGTCGGTTAAGCTCAATCCCGCAAGGTCAATTGTAGGTCAAACTAAGAAAAGGTAGTTGAAAAAATCTGAAAAAATTCATACATAGGTTTTTGGGATCGTTGAGTCCGAATCCGGTATTCGATTACCCTTAGAAGGTATCCAGCGGTCTTTTAAAGGTCATTCGGTTATTTCAAGGTTAATTTGAGAAAAACAGAGGAGAAGCTGTCAAGAAATCTGAAAAAATTCAGATTTCTTGGGGTCGCTGAGTCTGAATCAAGAGATGGTCCATTAAGGTCGCTTAGACGTCATTTTAAGGTCATTATGAGGATGAATTGATACACTTGAAAATCTGAAGGTTTTTCGGGTCCAAATATCAGTATTTTAGATGACCTTTTTATCATATCCACACCTTCAAGTCACAATACACGACCGACTTTGATTTTAGCCTGCATTCGTCCGCCAGCTTTTGCTGCAGGTGAAGATTCTTCGACTATCTCAGTGCAAATATATTTAACTCTATGAATCACCTACTTATTTTTTTCTGTTAAAGTTGACGAGCTTATATTCACCACATAAATCCTGTGGAACGCAAAGAATGGTCTTTAGATATAGTTGCAGAAGCAGACAGATAAGCAGGTAGAAAGGCAGGTAGAAAGGCAGGATGTCAGGTAGATGGACAGAGAGAAAATGCAGGCGGATGATAAATACAAACTAACAAGGAAACAAACAGGTGTGCAGGTAAAAAGGCAGACAGATAAACAGACAATAAGTAGGCAGGTGAGCATTCGTATGTATTTTTTTCACATTTCTTTCACCTCCTATTCTTACTTTAACCTTCAAACGAACTTGAACATGAGGTGATAGAGGTCAACCGACATCGGATTCGGACTCAGCGACCCCAAAAAACCTATGTATGAATTTTTTCAGATTTCTTGACAGCTTCTTCTCTGTTTTTCTCAAATTATCCTTGAAATGACCTTGAAATGAGCTCTGAATGCCTTTTACGGGTAAGCGAACACCGGATTCGGACTCAGAGACCCCAAAAACCTATGTACGAGGTTCTTCACATTTTTTCAACCACCTTTCCTTAGTTTGACCTTCAAATGACTTTAAACCTGACATGATAGAGCATAACCGACCTCGGCATCGAAATTAGCGACCCCAAAAACCCCTGGGTACCTAGATAGAGTCCGGTGTTTTGTTGGTCTGTGACACCAAATGTATTACAACTTTATCCCTAAGGTTACCTTGCGACAGAGGACTACACATTTACATTGATATTCATAGTCGGCCGCCTGCAGTTCGCCAGCGGGATATCCACTGAAACTTTGATTTTCGTTTCGTTATTCAGCAGGCGTTCGTCTATGCAACGAAAATCAGGAATTTCGGTGGATCTATCATTGGCGAGCGGCTGGCGGCCAACTATGAATACCATTGTTAAAGTCAACAGAAACACATCCAATATTCAAGTAAGCTTAGATTAATTTCTGTTTTAGAAAAATTCCCAGCTCCTTGACCGGGTATCGAACTCAGAACTCAGTGGTGAGAGGCAAGTGTCCTTACCACTGAACCACCAAACAACTTATATCGAATTGTGATATTGTGATATAAAACTGATTTTAGTTAATAATTTTACTACGATAAGAGAGTTTTTATTAACTTCTGTATGTTATTATGGTATCCCAGCAGCACAAAATATTGGAGCAATGTTGATATAGGCCCAATATATGAATGACGGCCATATATATGATATTTATGACCGATATTGGGCTACATTGTTCTGAAAACTTAAACATAGGTTGCTTTGAGAAAACATTTAAGATCTGTCAATAATTTATTACTAAAATTTGGTTACCATATTGTTTAGTGTATTATTGTGTTAGAAATGTATTCCAAGCAAGAAATACATAATATGTTACGTGTATACAGGGTGTCCCACTTTTCATGGAGCCACTCTCATATCTCGCAAATCTGATATCCGAATATTTTGAAATTTTGGTGGTGAATATATACCTATCAAGTGAGTCTTTAGGCAACCACATTTGATTGTAGTCAGAGGCATTCTAGATAGAAAGAGGTTGGTCGATTTTTCAAAAAGTATTAGCGATTTTTTTAGAAAAAAACTTGTAAGATATTCTTAATCAGCACCTTTAGAAACCTCTTTGTACAAGATTATATTGTTGTGGGTTCAAAAGTGTTTGAGATATGGGCCGTCAAAGAAAACAATTTTTTCAACTTAAAATAGTTTTTATCTGTAAACGGATTCTCAAATAAAAAAAATATATTCTTTATTTTTTTGTTCATAATAATATATTGTACTAGTATGAAATGATTTTACAACTAAATAATTATTTATTTAATAAGGCAAACATTTTAGTTCGTACATACCTACCATTTTTCTAACAAATAATCTTCAATAAAGACCTAAGTATCACTTTTGTTTTCATGGCCTACTAATACTTATAAGACGTTACAGGGAGACTGGACAGTGTTCTAGGAGGGAGTAGCAAGGACGTAGGATAGTTACTACAGCTGTAAATTATCGTTTTCTACGAGTGATAGCCTTGAACTCGACATTGCACTGCCTGAATGCTTCAAACTGAACTCTTAGCAGCTGGAAATTTAAACATTTCATTACAAACTGTAAAAAATCATCTCCGTGAACAGATTATACGATCAATTGTTCCAGTAATAGGCCATCAGCTTACTAGAGCACACTGGGTTACCCGGTTACAATTTACCAGGGAGCACGTGGAATGAAGATTACGGATGAATCGAGATTTTGCCTACACTCTTCAGATAAATGTATGCCAGTATACAAAAGGCCAGGTGAGCGTCATTTCCAATGCAACTTTCATCAAACGGCAAGTTTTGGAGGTTGGTCAACCATGGGGACGGATTTCGTTTCATGGAAGCACGGAGTTAGTGGCACTCAATGATGAAAGGATGACGGGTGATCGATACATAAGAGATATTCTAGAACCTCATGTGATTCCATATGGCCCTCTGATAGGTGACAATTTTATACTGATGCACGATAATACACGACCACACTCGGCCAGGATAGTGACCAATTATATAGATGACGTCAATGTCACTATAATGAATTGGTCAGCTCGCAGCCCAGATATTAATCCGATAGAGCACGTATGGGATCGTTTAGGATGGGAAACTCAGCAAGATCGTATCCATGTAGAACATTGAATGCACTCCAAAATAAATTGCATGTGGTTTGGAATAATATGGATGAGAAATATATACACAATTTCATTGAAGGGCTACCAAGGCAAATACAAGCGGAAATTAAAGCGAGTGGGAAATACACGTTATTAAAAATTATTGCACCCTAAATTTGGTTTCTTGTGGTTTTTTGTTTGTTGTTTGCTTTTGTAAAAATTTAATAAAAATTTTTTATATTGTTGCTTTTTTGTTAATCCTGTATATCTCCTCTAATAACAGAGATAAAAAAGTGAATAAAAAAGAGCATGTAATGAAAAGATGAGGCTAAAGTTAGCTATTAACTGTAACTTGCTATTGTTGCTGGTGCATACCACATGGTATTACGAATTATTGGACCAAAACCCACATTTGTACAAAAATGAATTTTTATTTAAAAAATCAATAGACAGTAACATTCCCGAAGAGTCGTCCTATCTTCCAAAAAAAAAATCATCCAAATCGAACAAACGATTCAGAAGAAAATTACCATCAAACTTAATGTCATTTTATGGTCATGCCATAATTCTTGTGGATTGTGTAAAATGTTGGGTGTATCATTTAAAACAATGAACTAAAATAGTATATTATGTTACTAGGGGGAGAAGGCTAACATTACATGTTGAGCCCAGAAGTTTGCTCAGCCGAGGCGCAAGCCGAAGCTGAGCAACAGGGCTAAACATATAATGTGCCTTCTACTCTAAGTGACATATACTATTTTTTTCTTCAAACGTCAAAATAAAAAAATTGCGACTTTAATTTCGAAATTATTTCGAATACATTATTTGTAATAAGATTGTCAGTTTAATTGTTCAAAATTCTTTCATTGTTGGCAGAAAATTCTTCAGTAAAAATGTTTTCAGTTTGACTTGAAGTACTGGGCTCATTATACTCTAATGGGTTTAGTATATTCATCGCTATCTGTTTTTTGTTGTTTACAGATTCTTCAATGTATCCTTCAGCAACGCTGGTGGATTTCCATCCACCATGTCGCTTTAGGGTTGTTATATCTCCACCATTATCAAAATAGTTACCGAGGTTCTTCTAAGGCTATGGCCCGTGTATTCATATGAATTTGGCAACTTTAAAAATGACGCAACATCTTTTGCAACGTTTGAAATGTTATGTATGCCCATCACAACACGATGACAAAAATTACTTTGATATTTAGTAAAAAATCTACCAAAAGTTATGTCTTCTGGTCGAAGAGTAGTATATTTTCTGTATAAATTTAAATAAAAATCTCCAATTATAGTAAATGAGCGATGTTTTTTAGTTTTTCTGTTGGAAATATTTACTAAGATTAAATCTCCCAAATCTTTTATATCATTAACTTTTATATGAACACGTTCATCGCATCTATAAGCTCCTATGAGTCCAAATATTAGTACAACCTAAAAGATATACTATATTAATTATATAAAAGTAAAATAAAGTTAGAAAGAGCAAAAAAAAAGTTAAAAGTACAGGATTCGAACCCGAGTCTTCAATTACGAGTCTAACACTCTGACCACTGAGCTATATCCGGACTTAATCAAAGCTTCAATTCTTTTTGTCTATTATTTTCCTAGCGGATAGATATAAAATAACTGGAATTTCACAAATTATAACAAAATTTTATATTACAGATATGAAAGGGTTAAATATATAAATTTAAAATGCGTACATACCTTTGTTGCTAAATATTTATCATTAGGTGCTTTATTAAGGAATTCATCAAACTCTTCTTTAGACAAAACTTTTGACTTTTTAGGTTTATAATTTTCGCCTTGTCGCTTTAAAAAGGCAATTAATTTAGAATAGTTGTCAATTTTTACATTGTGTTCGATGTTTAATTTAGATTTTATCATTGAATATTGCGCCCATACAGTTGAACTTTTCAGTTTTTTGGATAAATGTGTAAAATATGCTATCATCACATTTTCCGAATACATATGTACGTTGTTGGCCTTGGCCCATTTTATAAATTTATCGTACGCATTATCGTAAACTTTTTTGGATTTCGCGGGAATTAATGTTGCCACTGACGAATTTGCAATTTCAAGTAATTCAGATGGTGTGCACTGCATTTCTTCAGACATTTTTGCTTTTATATTTGACAACCGACCCAACGTGAAATTTAAAACTGACAGTTATGACAAGTCACAGCTAGTTGGATTTTTAATTCATTGTATGGTAGGTACACTGCTCTGCAAAACTAAGTAGGGCAGCACTTATTACTGTACCTGTAAGAGTTAAAAAGCAAGATAAGAAGAAAGGAGTATTAAAAGAAGGCCTTTATCTGGGAGACGGAGGATAAATGATGGTTGAATACGATCAGCAATTAGTAAATTATCTGCGTGGAAAAGCAGATACATTTATGATACATATATATTACAGCACAATTGTCCCTGTCCTACTTACTTTTGCACAGTAGTGTACATTGTTTCATTTTTGTCCTAGGAAAAAAATTAAAAATATTTGTATTAGTACAAAAATAGGCTCTTTCTCCAGGACGCGTTGCAATATATAATGTATGTATTGTTATGCGCTTGAAGTAAAATATTTTAATTGGATAGAGCACCAATGAAAATCTACACATAAAAAATTTCCTAGCAGCACTCTTAACAGTTTTGGAAATATAGATAGTTTCCAGTCGTTTTGATACACACTGTATGCTGATTAGAAATAGGAATAATCCTAAACTTTACTAAAGTAAATTCTATTTATAACGTTAATAAGATTACATTTTTTTAGTTAATAATAAATTTATTATAGCAAAAAATAATATAATATGGAACTGGATGAGGGCAACAAAATAATAAAGCATAATAAAGTTTGGCCTATTATTAGGACATACGCGTCACTTGAAAAAAGTTATATGCTATGAGTCCATTTACATATTTGTTATGTAGATAGATGTTATAAATTTGAATTAAAAAATAAAAAGTTGTGGAGTGTAATATCATGTTACAACCAAGCTAAAAATTTTAATTAAAAATAACCGGCGCATTCGTCAATATTTAGAATATTAAAAAAACCGTACCGAGGAACAATAAAAAATGAAAATCTGTTAAAACATGCATAATTAAAACCGATAGCTTGTATATCAGTGACACCAAGTTGAACTCTAGTTTAGTATGCCGGATTACACAGAGATACGGTTATCATCCTTTTTGTCTTTAATTTCCAACTTAGAGAAATAT